TAGTAATTGTGGACGACATTATGACCTCACCGCATATCGGACTACAGGTACTCCAACCTTTTGATTGTCCAAGGCTTTGTCCTGCGCATCCGAAGCTTTGCCCTGAGTATCCGAAGCTCGTTCCATCGCAGCTTGAAATTCTCGCGACAACTTGTCTTGCTTTCCTTTCTCCTAAAATGTCTGTGATTCGAAATGGTAGATTGTGCATACCTTCAGTTTCCCCTTCGTGTTCTTGTCGCTTTGATGCTCCATTGTGCTTTTATAAATGAGCCACACCAAATAGTCGAAGGGGCTGCCTCTCTCCAACCGTCGTCACTTGTTGGACAATGCACGTGCTGTATACAGTTCAATTACCAAGGTTATCATTCCGTGGCGAAAGAAAAGACAGATGTCACCAGCTTCATCTTAAACACCTCTGTTTTACGATGAAGCCACAAGCCTTTTATATCATGTGACACCATCAGTACCCAGTACACTCATGGGGCAATGTATCGAATGAATCCACTTTCGGCGTGAATGACAAGAAGTGTCAACATGAAATGGAATATGAATCAGCCGTATACGTCAGCGATGCTACCCCGACAGCTTCCACTCGGGGGTACACCCTCGCTGTGCTTAGGGTTGCCCGCGGCCTGTTTGCCCCGAGTGGCCGCTTTGGCCAGTGTACGCAGATTGCTGCGAATGGCCAGCTTTGCCCGACGAACCCGATTGCCCCGCTTGTCCATGTTGGCTGGATTGGCCATAATGGCCACCACTAGATTGCCCATACTGCCCCGACTGCCCAGATTGTCCATGCTGGCCACCGGTAGATTGCCCATACTGCCCCGACATGCCAGATTGGCCGTGTTGGCCTGACATGCCAGAATGGCCCGACATACCAGATTGTCCATACTGTCCACTGATAGATTGCCCATACTGCCCCGACTGGCCAGATTGCCCATGTTGGCCACCAGTCGATTGCCCATACTGCCCCGACTGGCCAGATTGCCCATGTTGGCTCGATTGTCCGTACTGCCCCGAATGGCCATGTACGCCTGATTGCCCATATTGGCTCGATTGCCCTTGTTGACCTGTCGCGCCACTTTGGCTCGTTTGTCCATATTGCCCCGACTGAGCAGATTGGCTTTGGCTTTGGGTCTTGGTTGCATACGGGGACGACGACTCCTTATCGTCTTGGCCGAAGGCACTCTTTACCTACACACATTGTGTCAACTGGATCGATAGATGTGTCTATTCATTCCATATCGCACAGACCTTCTCCTTCATCTTCTCCATCGTGCTCTTGTCGTCGCCTTGGTGCGCCATCGTGTTTTGATCAATGAGCAAAACAACTTTGAGCCTCGCGCTCTAACCGTCGTACTCATACGATAGTCAGCAACGATCGTGTCGTTGCAAAACTTTCCACGTCGCAGATTCTCTCTAACGGTCGTGACTTGTTGGACAATATATACCGCCGAGATGGCAGCTCAAGTGTGTGAGATTTACAGATTCACAAATGAACGTTCTATGTTGTAGACACACAACGGAATCCTTAACCATCACATATGTGTTACTGCGTTTTCTATTGATGCGCCAGAGATGTGTACGTGGTAATGAAATGAAAATGCATTAGATGTGCAGCTTAAGCATAGCTTCCACGCTGAGCTGTCTCCTTGTCCTTCGAGACTTGGGTTGACTGGGTGCGATCGTCCTCGCGATATTCCTTGCCCGTTTCCTTAGCAGCGTCCCCAGACTCCTTGAGCTACAAGTTGGTTAGCTATAACGAATGTACAGTACGTCTTACAACAGTCTTACCGATTCTTGAACGTCCGCAGCCTTTTCCTTTAAAGTTTCTTTCGCCTGATGGAGCTTGTCTTTCATCGTGTCACGAGCATCAGTTGCTTTCTCCTTCGCAGACTGATAATACTCCGACCCCTTGTCCTGCGCTTGCTCGCCCTTCTCCTTCATCTTCTCACGCGCATCAGCCGCCTTGTCCTTGGCAGACTGATAGTACTGCGACCCCT